TTAATTTATTTTTTCAGTGGACACGTCTTTTTCAAGTTTGTTTATTTAAAAAAAAAATGCAAATTTGAATGAAAAACAAAAAATTTACTAATAATATTGGACATGGTGCATGTCACATGAAAATGTTGATCACTTTTCATTCTACTTCAATTTGGAGAATAGATCGATTAACGTTTGATTTATTTTCGAACGATATAACCACAATGTGTCGGCCAATATGGTAAAAGAAAAAATTACCAATTTCTAATGATTTCACCGATGACCATAGACATTTCAGAAAGAATGACCGCCATCCCATCCGATATAAGCTCACGAAGACCAACGACTTTTTTGTAAGTCAATTTGACCTTCGAGTGTCTTTGCAAGATAAATCACAAACAATTGGCTCAATGCAGCTCCCAGTGCAATACCAGCTATAGTATAAAGATTTCGTTCAGCCTGGGGAAATGAAATAAAAAATATAATGAAAAGAGTATGGCACTATTATCATCAAGAACTTGCATATATACATATTTCTTAAGAACGCTAGAAAATATCGTTGAATATATCTCAAAGCGACCGCATAAATGAAAGATTTTAATTCATTATCTTACCCACACACGAATAATTTCAATGCACCCATTTGTCCAAATCTTTTTGCTAGCAGATGCTACCGATTCCTGTTGAACGCCGTAACCTGAATTGTTAATAAAAATTGAGTCTTTGATTCCACTTGAATTTGATAAATAACCAATTTGAGATCATATAGGACATACCACACATGATATTCACTAGTCCAGAAGAAATATCAGAGGCATTGATGCAACAAGAGTACGGGACGCCACCTCGTTCAACACTCGGGGATGAGCAATTAAAGTATTCATTCTTGCCTAATATACAGAAAATGTCCAAATATAAATGATAATGTAAGTGTATTCTTTGTCTGGTATACACTATGTATACAGGGTGTTTCAGAATTGCGTTCCAATATTTTACCCACGTATTGCTGGGGTCAGGCCCTATCCAAAATGTGAGAACCACTTTTCCGAATTCGGCCTGCCGAAGTTTGGGCCGCCGGCGCACTTTTGTCCCAAAATCATCACAGTCACATGTGAGACAATTGCGTAGGTATTTTTGGTCACAGCTTCATGAATATTGGCTTGTGTGAAAGGTATTGAGCCCACTAGATCAGTCAACCCAAAAACACTAAAATAGTTCGAGAGAAGGGGTTAAAATTAACCGGAAATTATGAAAAATTGATGAAAATAGTGAATAATCTCAAAATGATGCGTTATTAAGGTATCGTTTTTTCATCATAAATCGAAAGACCGTCGAATTTTAGGTCAATATGCCAATTTTCAGGAACCAATATCGCAGTTAACCTAAGAAAACTGTGACCATTAGTACCCCATCTTTGAAGGTTATCAGATATCAGGGTATAACTCAGAAACTATGGGATATATCAGTTTGTAATCTTCAGGAAAGTTGTAGAGGGCGTCAAAAGCAACAACATTTTTCTGTTAGTTTCATTGATTTTACGTGTAGATGGCGCTCGATATCAAAATTTATAATTCAGTGATTTTTATTAAAGTTACGGTATTTTTTGACTCGATACATAGCCTTGCTTGTTGTTTTCGACGCCCCCAACATCTTTTTTGAAGATGACACACTGATATCTCCCATATTTTCTGAGTTATACCCTGATATTTGGGAACCTTCAAAGATCGGGTACTAATGGTCACAGTTTTCTTGGGTTAACTGCGATATTGGTTCCTGAAAATTGACATATCGACCTTAAATCCGACGATCTTTCGATCTATGATGAAAAAACGCATCATTTTGAGATTATTCACTATTTTCATCAATTTTTCATAATTTCCGGTATGGGTTAGTTTTAACTCCTTCACTCGAACTTTTTTAGTGTTTTTGGATTGGATGATCTAGTGGCCTCAATACCTTTCACACAAGCCAATATTGGCACGCAATTCTGAAATACCCTGTATAGTATAGTTCGCAATTGAAAATTGAACAAGTCATTCTTACCCCAGTCCATATAACCTGCATTACTTAAACCACAGCATTTGAATTCTTGCTGAGCATAATCAATAAAGTTCTGCATATCTGGGTCATCTCGGTATAAATGTATTACCTTTTCTGTGAGTGAATCCTCCAAAAATGTATTCATATTGTGTGGAAATACAAATCCAACTATTGCTACAGCCATTTCAAGTAGAAACACCAGTAGCAAGCACATCGAATAAAACTTCAATAGGCATGTATTTTCACGGAGGGCGCCCAAACATCCAGCAAAACTGACCACAAACACAACTACCCCGGCAATAACCATTACCAGTGAAATATTTAGCACGATATCATAGATTGTCTCCACTTTAACCCAGCCCGTCGCCTGATATTTTTCATAAAATGCATAGAAACCGATTGAAATCATCAGGCCTCCAAATAGCCAAAATATAAAATTCAACAAGAATATCATATATTTGACGCAGGAACTTATCTAGAACATTGCATGGAAGAGAAAAAACAATTTAATAGATTAGTATCATGGTTGAATATGCTATAACTATAATTCTTACATATGTAAAATTTGGTGAAATTCGTCGATGCATAGCAGGAAGAGTAATTTTTTTTCTGTCTAAATTAAATACAGAATCCTGTTCTGTGTCACCCGATCTCCTCAAATCCTTTCTAATTTCCCAGAGTGAATTCACAAATGCTAGAAATGAATTTTTTTAAGCGAAAAAAAATTGTCTATGGATAAATTCTACTTAAATGCATGTAGTTTATTTTGATGTGTCAACAAAAACAATGAATGTCTTCGATGTTTTTGTGTAGCTTCCTTTGTGTATGCGTGACTTTAAATCAATGCCATCTAGCGAAAAAAAATTGTCTATGGATAAATTCTACTTGAATGCATGTGGTTTATTTTGATGTGTCAACAAAAACAATGAATGTCTTCGATGTTTTTGTGTAGCCATAACAACAAATACGTATTCTCTATAATAATGACGAAACAATTTATCTGAACACAAACTGTTTTATTTTACAATAAAAATGTTTGACATGCTTTTCAATTGCTTTTGCTATATTTTTCAGTTTATAATTTTTGCACAGTTTAAGGAGAAGATGTATTATTGGCCGTTTGAGTTGAAGCTGTTATAGCAATGAGGCGCCTCCTACAGCACGCATGAACTTGTCAAAATTGACATTTGAGCAAATTGACGAAAACATAAGTTTCGGTCAAGTGGACTACATCCAGTGCTCATTTTTATAATAGAGAAAGGTCGATTCATCTTTTGGAAATAAATTGGAGCGAAACTACTGAAAAACATAATTCTACATTTGAAAGTTGAATCGAAAGTGAGTTTTGAATCGCAAAAATAAATAATACCTAATAATAATAATAAAAGAAATGCTGTAAAATTTAAGACTTCCCTACCATTCACTTGAGATACCAAGAAAAGAAATTATGAAAATATTAATTACCATTTTTGATCTCAACCAATATTTACAGAAAATAGGAAATGTCCAAAGGTAAAGGAAAATGTAAGTGTAATTTTTGTTTGGTATACAGTATAAGTTGCAATTAAAAATAACAATAATTTATGAACCGAGTCATTCATGTGATTTAAATAATAATTAAAGTAATAATCAATTTTTCGTAATCACTTCAGTACATTCGGAAACAGAAGAACAACAACGATTACGATTCCAAGTTGAGCTCGAATTCATCCAATGTTTAGCAAACCCAAATTATTTACACTGTAAGTTGTGTTAAAAATCGAATTGTGAACTATTTATTCATTATTATTACTTTTTTCCTGTTAAAACAGTTATCGCGCAGAGAGGATATTTCAAAGATCCTACATTCATAAATTATCTAAAATATTTGACATATTGGAAAGAACCAGAATATGCTCGTTATATCAAGTATCCAATGTGTCTGGCTTTCCTCGATTTACTGCAATATGAGCACTTTAGACGTGAAATTGTTAACTCGCAATGCGTAAAATTTATCGATGATCAAGCGATTTTATTATGGCAACATTATACTCGAAGGCGGATGAAATTATTGGCAGCAGCTCAACAGAATCAACAAAATGGTCAGAATATTTCAAATGGCCATCAACAACAAAACGGAAACTCGAATGCTGATCCCACCGGAGGTTGAGTTTTGAATCGCAAAAATAAATAATACTTAATAATAATAATAAAAGAAATGCTGTAAAATTTAAGACATCGAACCGCCACTAGGAATCGAATAAATCAGAAAACTCTAAACAAAACTTTTATTGAATCGATTTTTTTTCCAATTGACCTTCATTTTTTTTTCTACCATGCATCGTTTTCGTTTTATCGATCGATATATGTGTAATTATTAATGTGTGGGAGAGACAGCAGATTTTTAAAAAAAGAAACAATGGTCGTTTCTTTTACATAGTTTCAATTCAAGTGCCATTTCGATAGTACGTATTTTGTGGCTGTGAAAAAACTTTCAACGGCAGGACAAGAACATGCCTCAGTTGAAAGGCATTGAGCAAAAAAACAGTAAATCTAGCAGCGACATCGCCCGAAATAATAGAAGAAAAGTCAGTTGACTTATTATCGGTTAGTAGTGAAGACTATAAAGATGATGACGAAATCAGTTTCAGTGAAGGCCGATTACAAGCATGGAATTTAACGGAATTTACAAAACAACTGAGTGGTTCTGCAGCAGCAATAATTTTAATTTTCGGGTGCGGAATTACATCGGCCTGGGCTATAACTGACCTAATCAAAGATATTCAACTTAACGAAGCCGAATGGGTTGACCTTGACTATAGCTTTGAGCTATTTGAAAATGATGAGGACGAGTTTCTTAGTTCGCGACATGTAATCATTGCCATCGTTGTCTTGAGTTTTAACTTTGGCATAATCATAGGTGGAATATTTGGTGCTTTTCTAACGCCAGTTTTACCCAATCAAGCCATTTACGTAAGTTTTTTTCTTGCATTCACTTGCATCATTTTGTGACAGTGAGTGTGTATACACTAAGTATATATACTTAGACTATAGTCAAAGTTTTTTAATTGATCGACATTATATTCCAGGCTCTTGGATCGGTATGTATGCTATTTACAGGGATAACGCTCACCAAACACACATCGGCCATCTATTGCGCGAAATCCCGTTTGGTCGTGGGACTCATCTATGGACTAGTTCAACTTTCTGTTATTGTTCAAGCTGCAGAGTCCACAACGAAAACAGTGCGACGTTGGATTTTGATAAATGTGGCATATGTTAGTGCAGTATCAAATTTGATTTCAACACTTATTTTTCATTTCTACGATGACCGAACGGAAATTACATATACCGAAGAGAATCCAGCTCTTTATGTTATCTCTTATGTGATGATTGGGTGTTCATTGTTTGCTTTAATCATAAACTTTATATGTACAACTGACACCATTCCATTTTATCTGAATCGCGGAGAAGATACAAAAGCATTCAGGGAGCTTTCGCGGTTGAAATCTGAACATCTTTCGATGCTCGACATTCGATATGAGTATGAACGAATTAGGTTCGATGTTTTACAGTGCACCCTGGACGCGAACCGCAGTTTACAAAACAATCGTGTCCCACTTATAACGATGTGCTGCGTTCGCATATTAAATCTTCTGTTCACCTCAGTTCCTATAACCCTTGTCCTCATTTGGAATCCTGATACAAGCACCAAAGAAACCAGCCTTGAGAATAACTTCGAACCGAACAATTCTTCTCAACTTGCAGCGCCAACAGTAGAAAGTGATCAATATATATCACCCTTAACTACATTATCAGTGCTACAAGCATTTAGGTATAAGCATTGTGGCATATGTCGGTTTTGCATCAAATTTGATTTCAACACTTATTTTTCATTTTAGACTCATTTGCAGTATTGCCGTGATGATTAGACAGGATAAATATCATTTCAATCGATTTTGCTACAAATTGGCTTTCGTCGCTGGAGTCACGCTCATGGTTTGGTTTCTGGCTCGAGTTGTTTTCACTTCAATCGACACGATACAAAATATATTTTTCTATCCAGTTTCGATAATTATAATGATGGGTTTTATTGGTTTGCCGATTCCACTGGACATAATACAATTATGTCAGTCGGCCGACTCTTATTCTCGTATTAAAAATAATGCATGGTCTTTGGCAATGGCAATTTTCATTGAAAATATCATTCATATATTTTTGATAATTCAACTAGATATGATTTTTGGGGTAATGTTTGTTTTTTTGGTGAATGGAGCAACAATGATATATTTCAGTCATTGGCTGTTGAAATATATGCCGAACGTCGTATCAATCCATCCGATAACAGTGGCCACAATAGCAAGATACCCTTTCAAGAACGTTAACGAGTCTCACACAGTTCATATTTAATTTTGTTTTCTGTTTTGCTAAAATTCTTGACAATCAACGAATTCACCAAAAACTCAGTGTTAGCTTTACTCAATTATGTTTGATCTTTGTTTATTGAAACAATATCCAATTATTATCCATTAATCATTGTGATTTATCAAATACTAAGATTTCAAATGTAAGTTTGTCAAATTATCATTGTTTCATGCGGAAGGAAGATTATTTGTTAAGGAAGGGCTGTCGATGCACGCGAAATGAAAACAATTAACGGAAGAAATTGTGCCTAGCTCTCTTCAAACAAGCCTTTGTTTTAAACACAACAATTCAAATTATTTCTGGGAAACTAAATAGCCTTAGAAAAATATTTAAACGAAAACTTCTTTTTCTAATTAAATAAAGTTTGTTTTATTGGAGCATTACAGCACGCAATATACTGCATATTTTGGACCCAACTAAACATCGCAACTGCTACATTGAGTCGACTCACACTTAAAGCAACAACTCGTTATCTACGAAAAAAAGCAAGTACGGCTCTGGTTTATGTTTCGGTTGAGCGTTTCGAATTTTACTTCTCCCAACAATGCTTTGTTGTTAGTTGTACGCATTGTGTTTGTGTGTGAGAGAAGAGTGTTGTATATTATTATTACATGTGTTGTATGTTGTTGTTATTACCTTTCAATTCAATACGAAACCGACCGACGTAGCGATCAGTATTACCAAAAACATCATTGCTGTCGGTCGTGTTTTCCACGCATTACCTCCAGTTCTGCGAACGTAAATTATTATTTCATTCATCTTGGCTTGCTATAATTTCGGTGAATTTTCATCTAGTACATTGTATCACAAAGAGAAACAACTAGAATTAACATTTGTTTGAAAAAATAAAATAAATAAAAAAAGTAACTAAAAATTAACATACAACAAGACCTAGTTTTTGATTCCCATGAATTGTTCACGCGAAAACGAAGAAATAAACAAAAGATCACTTTTTCTCTAGAGGAAAAGTAATAAATGTTAATTAACTACTAAAGTAAGACCCAAGCAACAAAGAAAAGTGATGTGCGCTTGTCGTGACCCCATATTTTGAGGAGAGAAATGCAACACGAAGTATATATATAATATATATATATAAAAGTATCGTCAAGTGAGAGTTGAATAAAGCTAACATTTGGTCAATTCATGAGACTCGGTCTGAAGTGAGGAGAGAGCACCAAATAGCTATAATCACAATATTTTCCTCTATTAAAATACAACAAAAAGTAAAAGCCTTAGTTCAAGTGGCTGTGATACTAGCGCGCGATTTGAAATTCAATCTACATCGTCTGCACTGAACATCGTGTGTGTGTGTGTGTGTGTGACTGTGAATAAACTGCAAAGCCATAACCGCCACAATAACAATAACAACAATAAACGAATGACATACTTTTTCCATAATCGTTCGTTTCGTATTTTGTATTATTTGAAAGTTTAATGCAGAGTAGTGCTAGATTTCTTTGGACGGTTTTTCCCTTTTAAAGTACCATGCAGTTTTAATAAGAGTTGAAATTTTTCTCTCGATATTTTGTGTGTGCCACGCATAGCAATTGATAATACAGAAAGAATACGTGAAATCTACAAAGAAAAGTTAATACCGACAGATATAGTCTGTGATTTGGATTGAATATTCGTTGCGCTTACTGTATCAAATCAGTTTTCTGATCAGTGAGCAAAGCAGAAAAAGAACTGTTTCAATTACCTGAAATTTTGATGTTGTATATGTTTCTTTCATTGAAACCACAAGTAAGTTGTCGCTTCATTTATTTCAATAACAATATTTCCGAATTCGCATCAACTGTTGGACTTACGGTTATTAATAATGAAATTTTAGTAGAAAAATTATTAATCGATTATTTGTAGACCGTTCGTGAAAGCGTGTCTCAAAAATACGGATGGGTAAACAAGAATGTTGTTTTAATTTTTAAGGCCAATATCTCTAGCTATGTGGTAGTGATTCATTCCCGCATGAGTGTATTTTAACCAACATTCAGAACTTTTATCTGGTGAATGTTTCGTATTGCAAAGCAAAATATGAAGAGAAACTTTAAAAAACCGGTTCTACAGTCCAATATTGAGGTGCGCAGTAGTTTATTTTTATATCAATCGAAAGTAGATCATAATTGGATCACTAAATTTGAAGTCAGGTTTTAGAATTTCCTCATTTAAGTCACCATCGAATCTGTAAATGAATATAAAAAAGCCATTGTCATCAGATCCCAGTTGAACCGTGCCTGAAAATAGTTATATGTTTGTATGTTTTATATTGCAAATCACACTATTTCAATAGTGCGAGTTACAATTTCAAATTTTTCTGGTTTCATCACTTTTCACCAATCCACTCGCTTGATTATTGCGAAATCTGCCATCATCATGTGTCGAAATTAGAATTTTCATATCAGTTTCCATAGGATTGATGTATTTTGTTATCTAATTGATGCACCGATTTGAAACAGTTTTGAATGCTTTGTTTACTTGCTGCATGGTACATGGTTCATTGTTCAAAAACAATAGAAGGTTTTCCACGTTAAATTGGTTTTAATATTCAAAACATTATTCAACCAAACCATTTCAACGAGAGTGCTTGTCACACAATTTGAAAAACACATTATTCAGTGCATATCTATGGGTGAGATTGAGAGTGGGTATGTTTCACAGACTATGTATTGGAAAAAGTAGAGTATGTTCTGAAGCGGTGAGCAAATCTTTAAATAATTTATGTATTCCAACTGATACACGATTCAGGGAAGATACCAATTCGATATTTTAGTCAGTAAAATTAAAATCGCCAGAAAACCACAAGTGAAACTTACTTAACTTTATCAAAGTCGTCAAAAAAACATACACTTCTCTCAATCTTACCCATAGATATAATGTAAGTTAAACATAGGCCAATTTGCAACATGCGAAAAAAATTCCATTAAAGTTTGTAACTTATGAAAAAGTGGCAAAAGATGTTCCTCAGTCATTCGTAACTGGGTTCAAATTTCTAATCGTAAGGGAATGTCGGGTTATTTGGTCCGAGTAGTAGTAGTTAATTTTAAAGTTAGTCTTGAAAAAGTCGAGAAATATTTTGGATTCCAGTAATAAAATGTTGAGAAAAATCAATTGATAAATGAGCCCATTCATGAAACAGGAGCCAATTAGTTGATTTACTTTTTTAGAATTCAAGTTAAAAAAAATCTTCCAAACTTCTAAAAATCTTCATAATCTTCAGTATGTATTATTGAAAAAGACACACGCAAGCTTAGAAATGTGATTTATATATCGTGCGTTATTTACTTAACAAAATCGCCTTGGATTCTTTGTGCATATGAATTGGATTGGAATGAATTTTTTTTTACAGTTTCAAAAATGTTCCAATTATCATGACGGATGAGATATCGTTCAAAAGAGAATTCATATGAATCATGCAAATAAATTTCTATGTGTGAGGATAGTATGTGGGAGAGTATATTGTAGATTATTGAGGTTTTTCGCAGAACTGATAGAAGTTAACTGTTTGAGATAACTGTTTGCAGAAATGTGATAGGGCACATAGATTGTTGTGATCATATTTTACAGCCAATGTTGTTGATAAATTAAGTCACAAATGGACTAAGTTCATAAAAAATGTTCTCCTGCCTATTCACTGGACTGTAATTTTTCTAAAGCATAACGCGAACAAACTATTCGAGAAATTATTAAAATGGTGTAGCTTGAGAGAATATCTATCTATTTATCTATCTAAGTATCGGCCTTATTTGAACGTTTAATTTAAACTTAATAGTTGAATTACCCTTCCCATCGAAAATACAAAGGGGAATGTAACCGGTTGTGGGACGGGTTTTGTAATTTTTCCACAAAATTTTTTTTATCCTATATTTTTCCAAACCCTATATACCGTTCGAAAGATAACCATCATAGCTAACTTTTCTCCAAACAAAGTTAGTCATTTATATGCACAACAAAAATTTCATGCTCATTTTCCCGACAGTCTTGAAAATGACGAAAAAAAAAATTGTACCCGGTTGTGGGACACCTCATTTTTTTTGCTTAAAATGTCCAAGATTGAGGTAAAATCATTAGAAATCATGATTTTATGATTGTTTATTTAATTTTTTAGACTACCATAGGCAAACAATGATCAAATGGTGGTTACATGTCAAATTACGAATGAAAATAAGCCATAATCTTCATTCACATTCAATTCGCAGTGATTGCACATTAGACACCATTAAAGGCCTTTGCACATTTGAAGTGGACTTTTCTACGGCAAGAAAAGGATTTTATTGAATTTTGATTGGTCAATATTCGATGGAATGTTTGTAGCTGAACGAAATATTACTTCTGGTAACTCTCCATAGTTTACTTTTGTAATATCATCGAATAGCTACCCCAATTGATCCGTGTATCGGCTTCAATCCACTGTTCGGTGCATCTCAAAGTCAAGCAAGGTTTCTCTAATTACTTTTTGTCTCAGTCATACGAATCTTTGACTGTTTGGACTGAAGTATCATAACCCTGTACTGGAAAAGCTGTCTTCTGTCCCTTTAACATGATGAGAAATGCAAATGTTGATTTGACAGTCACCAAAAACACCAATAATTCCGACCACACATATTTATTTTAACACAAATGACCATATTTCATCACTGAAATGTCGAATTAATGTTTTCGATGCAAAAAATGGGTGTCCCACAACCGGCTACATGACTGTCCCACAACCGGAATTGTACACCACTTGGATGTGATGCAAACAAAAAATTTCAATGCCCATATATTGATAAAAAAAACTTACTCATGATGAAATTTAGTCCTTAAACTACGTATATCACTATTTTACTGATCATTTTTTCATCAAAAATTGTGAAAATATTACTTCTTAAGAGAAGTCTATGAAACCTTTTTTTACATTTTTCAACACATCGTCTGAAAATAATATAACGAGTGCATATATTCAGCTCGAAGCCGTACCAAAAGTTTGATTACGGATATAAAATAACATTATAATACATCATTTGATGTTAATACTACAAAAGTGTCAAAATAATCGACTGTCCCACAACCGGAGCCGTCCCACAACCGGTTACATTCCCCTACCGGTGTTTTTGTGTAAACAAATGTTTGTCGTTTTCATTTATTTAACCCCCAGCTGGATAAGCCCACGTTTTGGTGGGCATCATTTAAACGCCTGTATAATGCGAACCGTACGTCGTATCCGATGGGCGAAT